CTGTACCAAAAACGATTTCATGGTGGCCCCTCCCATGCCCGAAGCCGCTTCGGCCCAGCGGCCCGGGCAGGCAGCTGCAGCCACTGGCGACATCCTTCCCCTCGCTGTGGGCTGGGCAGTCCACAGAGGCGCAACCACCGGTGAAGAAGGGTTTCTTCGACGAGGCCGCTACCAAGCCGCTGAAACCGGCCAGGCACGCGCAGCCACTGGGCACATCCTTGGTGTTGTTCGGCCGAAGAGACCGGTATCTCTGGAGGGACCGCAACCAAAGTAAGAGGGTTTGTATACATAAGGGTTCTCTGAACGGCGCCAAGAAAGGTATGAAGAATGCACTACGCCATCTATGCCCATGTCTTTCTATAGTACCTTCTAGTAGCTTGGGCTTCAAACCTAAGCTTGGCAGAAGATGATCCAACCCCTCTAAACAACCAAGCCCGCGACGAAGAACCGTCCGAACCGGGTGTCCTTCCATCCCCGACCATCCAGGCGCTGAACCCAGGCCGTTTGCCTCCCACCTCACATGTCTCGGGCCGACCGGTGATGGTCGCACTCCAACCGCGACTCACCGGTTGGTGAGCATCTCAAATGATGGCCACCCAAGGAGCAGCTGCAAGGAAAAGCATATGAGCCAATAAAGGTCACAGAGTCAGGGATTGTCACGCTTCTCAGTGAACTGCAGTCTGCAAATGCACAGTCTCCGATACAGGCGAGAGACTGGGGCAACTTCAAGGTTCGCAAGGAATTGCAGGCTTGGAACGCACCTTGCTGAATGTCGGTCACTCCATGAGGGATTGCTACGTCGACCAAAGAGCAGCAACCTGAAAAGGCGTAGGCCCCAATGAAGGTGACACTGCTGGGCATCTTCACTGTTCTCAATGACCTGCAGTCTGCAAAAGCGCACTTTCCGACAAAAGTCAGGGACTCGGGCAATATCAAAGTTCTCAAAGAGCTGCAGGATTGAAATGCACCTTGCTGAACATCGGTCAGAGCATGAGGGAATACCACATCAACCAAAGAGCAACAGCGTGAAAAAGCGCACGCGCCAATAAAGGTCACAGAGTTAGGGATGGTCACGCTTCTCAATGAACTGCAGCCTGCAAATGCGCATTCACCAATGGATGTGAGTAGGTCAGGCAACTTCATCTTTGTCAACGAGCTGCAATTTTCGAAGGCACTTGGCTGAATCCCAGTCACTGATTGGGACATTGACAAGTTGGCCAAAGAGCTACAGCATGAAAATGCAAATGCCCCAATGAAACTAACAGAAGTGGGGAGAGTCACGCTTTTCAATGAAGTGCAACTTGCAAACGCACGTTCACCAATAGAAGTGAGACACTCAGGCAACGTCAAGGTTGTCAATGAGCTGAGGTTTTCAAACATACTTGGCTGAATCTCTATCACAGAATCGGAGATTGACACGTCTGCCAATGAGTTACAACCTGAAAAGGCCTGCGCTCCAATAAATGAGTTAGGGATGACCACGCTTCTCAATGAACTGCAGCCTGCAAATGCACGTTCACCAAGAGAAACAAGAGACTGAGGCAACCTCAAAGTTGCTAATGCGCTGCCGGCAAATGCACAGTCTCCGATGCAGGTGAGAGACTCAGGCAACGTCAAGGTTTGCAATGAATTGCAGGCTAGGAATGCGCCTTGCTGAATGCTGGACACTGAATGAGGGATTGCTACATGGACCAAAGCGGAACACACTGAAAAGGCATAAGCCCCAATGACACTAACCGAGCTTGAGATCGTCACGCTTCTCAATGAACTGCAACCTGAAAACCCACACTCTCTGATGTGAGTGACAGGGTCAGGTATTGTCAAGGTTGTCAATGAAGTGCAGATTTGGAATGCACCTGGCTGAATGTCAGTGACATTTGGGATTTCCACACCCACCAAAGAGCAACAGCCTGAAAATGCACATGTGCCGATAAAGGTCACAGAGTTCGGAATGGTCACGCTTCTTAAAGAAGTGCAATCTGAAAATTCACGTTCACCAATGAGCCGAAGAGATTCAGGCAATGTCAAGGTTGTCAAGGAACTGCACATTGCGAAGGCACTTGGCTGAATCCCAGTCACTGATCGGGACATTGACAAGTTGGCCAAAGAGCTACAGGCTTCGAAGGCACCTTGCTCAATGTCCGTCACAGAATCGGGGATTGACAAGTCGACCAAAGAGCTACAGCCTGCAAAGGTGTAGTTCTTCACAGAAGTGACAGAGTTGGGAAGTGTCAAGCTCGTCAACGAGCTGCAGAGTTCGAATGCACGTTCTCCAATGTCTGTGACCGAGCTAGGGATGGTCAAGCCTATCAACGAAGTGCAGCACCGAAAAGCCCTGAAGGAAATCGTCGTCACCGACTGCGGCAGTGTCAAGCCTCCGATCAGCGAGCAACCTTCCAGTGCACAGGGTCGAATGTAGGTTACAAAGTCAGGGATCTTCACCAAGACTAAGCCGCCAGGTCGATGACGGTCACATCCTCGTAGAAATGTTACTTTGTCATAGCACTCCACTGTGCAAATGGTGAAAAGAACGTGCAGTTCCGTCATGGAAGAGATTTTTGCCTCCGCTAGGGTTTGATTGTTTTCTCTCAATGTCTGGCCGTCTAGAAGAACCTCTACCTGAGAGGTGGCACGTATGACATCGTCTTCCGAAGGCTGCAGTGCTCTCAGCACCTGCTTCAAGTCGTAGACGGTGTCATCTGGCATCACTTCAAGCTCGATAACCTCACCACTCAACTGGTAAACTGAGATCCGCATCGCCATGGCCGATCGCCCCTGCTCACTGAGACAAAACAAAGAATGCATGTACGTACTTCCTGGGGGCAGCGTGTAGCTAAAGGATGTCTCAAAGATGGAAGACCGTGGTGGAAGACACACAATTTTAATAGGTGTTAGTTTGTCCAGCTTACCTTCCGAACATTGTACTGTCAGTACATAACATGTGTGATTTCTTTCTCTTGAGAAACACAGATGATAGACTTGCATTGGTTGTGACGTTTGGGGATTCTGCTGGAGCAGGAAGTGACCGACAATAAGTGCATCAAGGAAAGTGAGTCCTTGTAGACCTCAAAATGCAGGCAGAGTCAAAGTGAATTCTGTCGTTGGGTCAACTGTTCAGAAGTTCCTTCCAAGGTCACCACGGGGTGGTTGAGCCTCTCCAACTACAGTGTTAACATGTGTTAACTAACAAACCTAACATCAACAAGTTCAGAAAACAACAACCACACTGCACACACTCTAACTCTAACCGAACCACCCACCACCACGCCCCTCGTTCTCCAAGGAAACGTCTAGACCCTACCTCCGGCCATTTCTGCGGTCGAGGCTTCCGTGCCGGCAGAATTCGCGGGACAGGCCACCGCCGAGCACTCGCCGGTGTAAAAGGGATCCGTGGTCGAAGCCTTCCGACACGAACGCTCAACGACGCATGCGTCGACGGCGACCTCCTTCTGGGACACAACGACTCCGAAACCGCCGAGAACCAGACGAGTTTCTCCGAGCCGGGGCGGTTCTGACTGATCTGACAACACTTGCTTCGAACCTGAAAGGGATCCTTAGTTGGCTGATCTGAAAGGGGCCCTGAGGGCGGGGTTCCACCGATGGCTTGCACGAAAGGCCCTGCCAACATTCAGAGAAGATGTGTTGAGGGAGAAGTGGACAGCAGCTCTCCGCTGCAAATACACAGCCTCAAAAAAAAGAGAAGTGAGGCTGGGAAGTGATTTTTTGGCCTCCTCTTTTTTTGGATCTCTTTGATACTTGCCTGATCTCTCAAAAAAGATCAAAGAGAATCAAAGAGATCCAAACATGCTTCCCCAAAAGTTCAGACCAAAAACCACTGCCCAAATCATAGCCACCTGCAAATACCCCGATACCACAGGAAAAAAATAGGAAAAACGGGGAACAAAAAAAGCTACGCGCCGGCCCTCTGATCTTCGATATGCCCGATTTCTCTGTCTGCGCGGCGACGATGAAATGGTCCAGCGGCCTCGATGGAGCCTTTGTAGCCCGCTTTGCAGCTGCATCCCTTGGGCACATTGGCGCCCTCCGAGTGGCTGGGGCACTGCACTGAGCTGCAGGACCTGCAGCTGCCGCGAACATGCCTTCCGCGTGACGTCCATGGAGGTCATCCTTTCCTCACATGCAGGTCATCCTCCTGTATTTGTGATGAGACGAACAAGGAGTGTGTCAGTAACTCCCCACCCCCGTTCTTCCGAGGCGGATGACCCCCCTTTCTTCCGAGTCATCGCCCCGTTGTCTACACTGCAGGAAAATCGGTACAGTTGTCATATCAGCACCTAAGATCGTCTTTACAGGGCCAGGTTCCACCCCAAAGGCACCACCACCATGTGCTGCAAAGTTCAGCCGATCTTCCCAACAGCCAAGTTCCGCCAGTACTCTCTGGGCTGCGCACCCAGTGTAGTACGGGCTGGCACTGGAGGCACCTTGGGGCCGAGAGCTCCATCAATCCTCCCAGCCCTTCTTTCTTCAATCAAAGACCACGAGATAGGCATCTCATGGTGGAACTTACCACAGATTCAGCTTGGGAAAGATGGAGCGTGCCACTATGATGTACCAAGAAGGGACCATACCTGAATAAACTCCAGCCGCAATTGCCCAAAATGAGCTCTGGCTGGCCCAGAAACGATCGCATGACCTCCCGAAGGCGGGTGGAGATGCATTGTTTCGGCTGGCCCTCCAAACGGTCCAGCGGTCCAACATCTTGGTCTGTGCCAGAAGGCACTCTGGGCCATTCGGTCATCATGCACGAAGGAGGGAAAAGTGGGTGATGCAAAATGCCATTGTGCCATATGTCCTTAGCCCTTGTCTTGTAGCAACACGAGTCAGTCCAGTGGATGGAAGTAGCGAAGGCAATGAATGCTTCTGTGAGTTTCACGTTGTTGGTCACTATAAAGCTGCAATTCATACTCCCCGGAACATTGGAGGGACAACAAGTTCCTCAAGTTGGCGTTCAGGGTGTAGCAGGTTCCAGCAGCTTGGGCATGGAATTCCGCGTCCTCTCGCAATGTTCAGACTATCCCAAATCATCCGTCCAGAGGGACATCCCAAAGGCCGGGAGTCGTTTCTCTGTGTGTGAAGCGGTCTTCACCTTCCCTCAGCTTCCCCTTCCCTCAGCTTCCCTCCGCTGGGCTCGGCTCGGCTGGGCGATCCGAGCTGATGGTGCCAGAGAAGCCGGCCTTGCAGCTGCAACCGTCCACCACGCTCTCGCCACTCGAACCTGGGACAACCGGCGACAACCGGTCATCAAAGGCCCACGGGGCCGACCTGGTCGTTCAAAATAGAAACGGTTTAAGGATGTTTAAGGGGGTGTTGGATGGTACTGGTGTTGAAAAACAAAAACCCAATTCAATAGTTGGAGAAGTCTAAAAATCTAGGATTGTAATGGGTTGAATCGTGATAACCTGAAGCTCAAGTAGAGTCTTGGCAAATATGGTGATGTGCGTCATGCACCTTGTATTTTGGGGGCAGAGCATTTTTCGAGGGCGTGGAATGGTTGGTCATGGTTGGTCTTTGAGTACTTGATAGTACTTGGTTGAGCCTTCGGCTCCGATCGGGCCATCGCGGGGCAGAAGGGCGCAGCGGTCACTTCGATGTGTGCGATGCAAGGGGAGGGCGGCACAGGAGACGCCCAAATTGGATTGTCGGATTATAGTCAAGTAGTCTCTGCTTCCACCATGGAGCGAATGGACTGGGCATCTGAACAGCCCACAAGAACCAAACACCGGTCCGTTTTTGAAGCTCGCCCCGCTGCCACGTCCACGAACAGCGAAACGGCCCGACTCCTCATCGCCTTCCCACGAACTCCGGGCGCGTCCCGTGCCTGAGGGACACTTGACGAGCTCACAGCAGGCCTTGCGCGAGGCACCCACCACGCTATCCGCCTTCGGCTTCCAACCTCGGTGAGAAGCAGTGAGATGCAGTGCTGGAGCCGTCGCTGACGGGAAGAAGGAGACACTCAAAGTGGGCTGCCGTTGTTCTTGTTTTCGAAGAGATGTTCTGAACAGATTAAGGCTTATATAAGGCATGTGCACAACCAGGGCATGCGGGCATGCACCGACAAAATGCCAACGAATGAGTCAAACATAGGTTGTTAAATATATGTTTTTTTGTTTGATCCGATGAGCTTCTGGGGACCCCAATTGCAGCTCCTGCAACGACTGGTTGCAGTATGTGCATATATATATATATATATGCAAGTGAAACCACTTGTGCTCATAAAGGCATTAGCGATGCTTCATATCGCAGTTGTGCAGGGTTCGAGGAAAGAAGGGCATTCGATTCATTTGACACCGCTTTGCCGTGTCTCGCATCCTTTTTGCCATATCCTCAGTGCACGCTCTTGGGCAACCATCGCTACTTCGGACCATCCCTCTTGGATGGTAGCGCGGAGCCTAGTTTTCTAGGTTCAACCAGGGACCTTAGTTGTGACGCTCGGCACGTCGAACACCTGCCGAGATACAAGGGGAGATGAATAGCTCCGAAGTGACCCGCTCCAAAGATGGGGTACCACAGTGGAATGGAGATGCCTCCACTTACCAAGAATACGAAGAACAAGCCCTCCAGTGGGAACAGAGCATCCCCTACCACAAACGATACCTAGCTGGACCAAAGTTGGTGGCCGAGCTCTCGGGACCAGCTCGGAAGCATGTCACAGGAAAACGGCCGCAGTGGTTGTCATTCAATGGAGGTGTCCAACACTTGCTGGAACACCTTCGTGAATGCCTGGGGAGGCCCACGATTTCAGAGTTGACAGAGTTTTTGAATCGCTACTTCCGCCAGAGCCGCCGGAAGAAGTTCGAGACCATGAACACCTACATCACCCGAAAGACTGAGGTGTACCATCGTGCTCGGCAAGCCTTAGCTCGAGTACAGAAGTTCTATGGTCAGAGGCACCAACCAAGGCACCACACTTGGGAGCGTAGGGACTCCATGACCTGGAGTCACAACACCTGGGAGGATTGGCAATGGCACAATCCTGAACCACACTCACAGGACCATGCTGAGAGTGACCACCCCGGTGATGAAGAACAGTGGTATGAACCCATGAGCGAAGCACCCGCCTCAAACTCCTGGCACCACTCACGTCGAGAGAGCGATGATGAACCATGGAAGCTCCATACAGAGGAACTGCTGCCTGAGTTTCTTCAGGGGTGGTATCTCCTGATGGACTCCGGGTTAGAGAGCACAGAAAGGAACATGATCCAAACGGCCCTCCAGGATGACTTCTCTCTACAGCGAGTTTCTCGTGAACTCCGACTTCAGTGGCCGGATGAAGAACTCCGGCGGCATGACCAGAACTCCCGACATGCCGGTTTTTGGGCTGATGATGGGGGTGACTATGAGCCGGACTTCATCGATTACCAGGAGGAAGCATGGGAGGTGGATGACCTCAATGGTGAAGGACAGGCGCTATACAGTGCCGCCGAAGAGCGCGCTCAGGAGGCATACGCCTTGATCCAACAAGGCAAGCGCACTTTGAAAGAAGCTCGGGCACGACAACACCAAGTCAAGTTGAGCCGACAGTACTACAAGACCACAAACACCAGCCGACGGTCCTATGGAGACCGGCCCATGTTCTCCTACCACAAGCCTCCAAGTTCATCAACCTCGGAGACATGTTTGCGATGCGGGAAGGGACACCGCACCAATGAATGCCCAGAGCGCCAAGGATCCGATGGAAAGCCCCAGAGCCATGTGGCTACTGAAGCAGCACCATTCATCTGCTTCAGCGATGAGGCAGCCCTCACCGCAGAAGCTGGGACGGCCAAAACTACACAGGCAGCTGTGAATGAGGGGTGCGCCGTAATTGACGGTGGAGCCACAAAGACGCTGGGGAGCGTCGAGGCTATCCAGGCCGTCATGGACATCAATGCCAAGAAGTACGGCAACCATCGCATCCAAGGAGTAGACACCAACAATACACCCACTTTTGGGTTTGGCAACAGCTCTCAAGACCGCTGCATCTCTACGACTCAGCTGCAGGTTACTGCGAATGAGCAACCAGGCTTGCTGCAGATCCATGCTCTGGATCGTGGAAGTGGTCCAATCCTGTTGTCCATCCAGACGCTCCGATCGTTGAAGGCCATCATAGACTTTGAGGCCGACCTTTTGGTACTGAGGGGACTTGACGATACGAAGATCATCCCCCTCGAGCGCTCGGCAGCAGGACACCAGCTCCTGCCTTTGACCGAGGATCTTTTTAAACATGCGAAGACCTGCAATCGACAGGTCCCAAGCCTCAGGGACTTCCTGCATTAGGGACAGCTCCTCTCTGATCTTCAGCCTGAGAGAGAAAGAGAGGTCAAGGGTGAACATCAGGTTCCAATGAGGCTTTGTGAATCATCTTTCCGCGATATCCTGAGTGATCCGTCGATTCGAACGTGCATTTCTTCTTTCTTTGATGATGTTAGGTTCAGTTTTGGTTGTGTGAATAGTCACATTTGTCACGTTTTTCATTTGAACACCGGACACGCATGCAGCAGCAGCCCAAGTATCGTGAGCTCGACGTGTTGTCCTGGCGGTCCCCAGCGTCTCGATCATCATGGTGAGCCAAATGAAGAAGTCCGAGTTGATCGAAGCGCTCAGGAAGCAGGGCGAGACTCCTCCGGAAAAATGGGGAGTCGTCGAACTGCGGGCACGGGTCCTCCAGATCTACGAGGAACGCGGCATTCCCACCAAGAAGAATCAGCGCACCGACATGCGCGAGATGGTGGTGCAGCTCAACAAGGCCAGCAGCCGGAAGAACACGTTGCAGCAGCATTGCCGCGACTTGGGAATTCCAGTGACTGGAAACGAGACCAAACCACAACTTCAGAAAGCCGCCGTGATCCGCATCTACGAGAAGAGTACACCGGACCCAATGGACCCGGTGGGCTTTGGGAAGGCAGCAGCTCTGACCTATGCAGAGATCCGGTCCGACACCCAATACTGCAACTGGGTCCGGACTACATGGAAGGAAGACCCGCAGGGATGTTGCCCCCAGTTGGGTCGCCTTGCCCAATGGCTCATTGCCGAGGAGCGCAAGATGTTCGACTCCAAGGATGCCGAGATCCTCCCTGTGAAGACACAGGGCTATCATCACGACGAGCCCACACCCATGGTGACACCAGCTCCAACGCGTGTTCGAGTGAAGCAAGAGTCAGCAGCCAGCTCAGCTGGGAGTGCCAATTCGTCCACGGCAGTCATGGAAATGATGGGAATCCTCACCGAGACCGTGAAGGAACTCAAGGAGGAGGTGGCGGAACTCTCCAGCCAAAAGAGGGCCCACAAGACACCAGGCTCAGACGACAGCTTCACGAAGATCTGAGTGACTCGGCTGAGACCTTAGATAGCGTCCACCTTCCCGTAACCAGCTCAGTGACAACACGCCAACTCTCTGAGGCAGCTGCTCGGCACCTAGAACAGGAAACACATAGAAACCTACCACGTATGTTTCAATGTCTTGTTGACAAGACCGGAAAAAGAAAAACGTGGTTAATGGAGATTGCTTGCAGCCCTGACAGTGTGTTGAGCAGTGAAATCCATAACCGAGCGGGTTACCGTGAAGCCGCTATCAGGTGTTCGCACTGGAACGGCTGTGACCTTACTAGTTCTGCTGGCGTCAAACTGATCCTTCAACAGATTGATCAATACCATCCCAAGCACATTTGGATCAGCACCGAGTGCGGACCATTTTCTCCCATGCAGAATTTGAATCAACGTACCGACTCTCAACGAGAGGAACTTGCGGAAAAACGCAGATCCGTCATGAAGCAGTATGTCGGTGCCGCTTGCGTGTGGCACTACGCCACTCAGAAGGGGATTCATGTTTCATGGGAATGGGCCCAAAAGTGTCAAGCGTGGAGATTGCCCTTAATCCAACAACTTATCCACAAATATCAACCTTGGTGTTCGGTGGTGAATGGATGTCAGGTCAATTTGCGGGACCCTAAGGGAAAAGGTCTGTTGCACAAGGGTTGGAAAGTCATGACCACTCATCGTAGGATGGCCATGATGCTTGATCTCCCATGTAAGTGTCCGAAGAGTGACAAACATGTGGTGTGTGAGGGTCGGTTGACTCACATGAGTGCTTTTTACACCAAAGAGTTTGCTAGAAGAGTGGCGGAAGCCATTGAGCAGGAATTTAGCCATGGTATGCTTGTGAAGGAAATGGGAGGAGACTCCCAGTTGTGTGCGAGTTTTGGTTCCGGCACCATGTGTGTGTGTAGTGAACTGAAGAAACACGGACATGTGCAGACTTGTGGAGCTTGTTTGGAAACGACGCTGTTGAACAAACCAAACGAAACGCCCGAAATGGCTTGTGTGCAAACGAAACTGACGAGTGACACGAAACAAACCAAAGAGGACGTGGAACGTGTGAAGAAACAAATTTATCAGTTGCATGCCGCCACTGGACACGGAAGTACGAGACACATGATTGAAGCACTTCGTAAGCGCGGAGCTTCGGATTTTGTTTTGCACCTTGCCAAGCAGTTCACATGTCATGTTTGCCAGGAAAGACATAAATTGACTCACAAACATGCCGCTAGTCTTGAACCACTCCCACCTAAGTGGGCCACTATCAGTGCTGATGGTGGAAAGTGGATACACCCCCACACTGGAGAACACAGTGAGTTTTTGTTGGTTATTGATGAAGGGTCTCAATTTCGAACGGCCCGAGTGATGTGCAAAGGAAAACACAAGACCATGAACGCGAGTCAATTCATCTCTTATTTGCGTGAGGGTTGGAGTCAATATTTTGGCAATCCTCAGACCCTCCGGCTCGATCCCGCCGGAGCATTCCGAAGCAATGAAGTAGAACGATACTGTGACATCCATGGAATTTACCTGGACTTCATTCCTGGTGAAGCGCACTGGAAGCTTGGAACTTGCGAACAGGCCATACAAGGCACCAAAGAACTGATGACCAAATTGGTTCTTGAGAACCCAGAACTGACTCCAGAAGAAGCCCTGGCCGAAGCAGTTCGGACCTTCAATGTCCGAGACATGATTCGAGGTTTTTCTCCAATTCAACATGCACTCGGACGAGCTCCGGATGAAACAGGACGATGCTTGCAGACCCTGACGGGTCAGGCCATGGACCAGCTGCTTCCTCCCTCAGGAGATGATTTTCAGAGAACCATCGAGGTGAGACGACAAGCTGAACAGGCTCATGCAGAATGGACGGCAAAACAACAGATCTCCAAGGCATTGAACTCAAGAGGCAACAGACAATATGTCTACTACCCTGGAGACCTAGTTTACTACTGGAGGAAACAAATCTCCGGCGCCACATCCAGCAGTCAGCGACAGAAGCAGGGATGCTTCTTGGGACCCGGAAGAATTCTGGCAACGGAGACCCATCGTGACCCTGATGGAAGTCTTCGCGCAGGTAGCAGCATCTGGGTGATTCGAGGAAGAAGACTTCTCAAATGCTGCCCAGAACAACTGAGGCCAGCCACACAACGAGAAGAACTTCTGGAGACCATCTGTCAAGATGAAGATCAAAAAGCCCCATGGACTTTTCAGCGCCTGACACAAGGACTAGGCGGCAATGAGTTTGAGGACCTCACCAAAGAGTGTCCGTCCCAAACGGAATGGCAAGAAGCTCAAGATTCTCCCATGCCAGATCCAGAGACTTCAGAACCACCCAGAAGAAGAGTACTGGGAAAGCGCATTGGTGATGGACCAGAAAGAAGCCTGCCGAATCCTACTCGACCTCGACATGGACAACCAGTAGATGATGATGCTCTTGTGGCCAAAGAAGCATGGTATGATCGTACCACAGAAATCAGCCGACAAGAAGCCTCCGGTGACTGCTTCTGGGCAGACACGGAAAGTGCCATAGAGATCGATCTGAGAATGCCAGAAACCAAGAAAGAACTGCAACAGTTTATAGAAGATCCCACCGCCTATTTCATTGGGGCCTTGAAGAGAAGGGCCATTGAAGTGAATGAAAAGAAGCTCAGCGTTGAAGACCAAAAGAAATTCGAAGTCGCAAAAGGCACAGAGGTGAAGAACTACATTGCCGCACGAGCTTTTGAGGCTCTACCACCAGAACTGCGACCTCCAAAAGAGAAGGCAATAAATATGAGATGGCTGCTCACTTGGAAGATGCAAGATGATGGCACTCACAAGGCTAAGGCCCGAGCCATCTTGTTGGGTTACCAAGACCCATCATATGAAGACAGGGAGACGACATCCCCAGTGATGACACGCCAATCGAGGCAATTCCTATTTGCAGCAGCAGGACGATTTGGCTGGTGTGTAAAGAAGGGAGATGTCACTGGCGCTTTTCTCCAGGGCCGGACATATCCCCAGGAATTGTACTGCATACCAGTCAAAGAAATCTGCACCGCCATGAACATACCAGAAGGCAGTATCACCCGTGTGAAGCGGGGGTGTTATGGCTTAGTTGATGCACCGCTGGAATGGTACAGAACGATTAGCGACCTGCTGAACACACTGGGCCTAGTCAAATCATGGGCTGACCCATGCACTTGGCTCTGGAAGCCAAATGGCATTTTGACGGGAATGATCTCTGGCCATGTTGACGACTTTCTCTTCGCAGGACCACCTGATAATGAAGAGTGGCAGATGCTTGAAGAGAAGATCCGAAACCACTTCAAGTGGACTGATTGGGAGACAGGCAAATTCACCCAATGTGGAGTGCTTGTGGAGGCGCAACCTGATGGCTCCTACCACTTGAGCCAGACCAAATATGTAGAAAAGATACCGGAAATCTTTTTAAATGCTTCCCGCCGAAAGGCCAAGGGAGAGTTGACGACAGACAAAGAGAAGTCTCAACTCCGAGCCACACTCGGTGCACTCAGTTGGTATGCCCAACAAACTGCCCCTCACCTGTCCGCCGAGGTCGGATTACTCCTATCCGAAGTCAGTCAAAGCACAGTTGAAACGATACACAAAACTAACAAACTGGTGTACTTTGCTAAGGCCCACAAGGATCATGTGATGATCATTCATGCCATTCCCAAACATGTTCCTGTTGGAATGTTTACTTGGTGTGACGCCGCGGGACAGAACCGACAGGACGGCAGCAGTACTCAGGGAATTTTTGTTGGACTGGGACCTTTGACTTTACTTCAGGGAGAAGTGGAAAAAGTCATACCTATTGCTTGGCATTCAAACAAAATTGACCGCCAATGCCGGAGTCCAGGTGCAGCCGAAGGTAGAGCTGCAGTAGCAGGTGAGGACTACATGTATCATGCTAGATTCCAGTGGAGTGAAATGCTCAGTCAGGACGTGAACATTTTTGACATTGACTCAGTCGTAAGGACCACTCCAGGATGCCTCATCTCAGACAGCAGAAACGTATACGATAAACTCCAGACCACTGAACTCAGTATCAAGGGTGCTGAGAAGAAAGTTGACCTGGAATTGTTATGTCTGAAACATTCACAGCGTGAAACAGGTGTTATTCTCCGATGGGTACACAGTGAGGCACAGTTAGGAAACGGCCTGACTAAGGGACATGCTAAGGAATTACACCACTACTTCACCTTGGGCTATAAATGGAGACTGGTGACGGACGAGAACATGATGTCAGCAAGGAAGCGGCGACAGCAGGGACTTGAAGCCCTACAGCAACCGCATGAACCACAACAACAAAACAAACAAATGTGACCATTTCGGTGTTTGGGGTTCTTGGTTCCTCTTTTCTTTTTCTTTTCTTTTCTTTCGTCTTCGGTTCGCTTCTTGTGTGTGTTGGTGTTGGACAGTGAAAGACGGAAAGATGAGGAGCAGGTAGCGGGGATGCAAGTGAAACCACTTGTGCTCATAAAGGCATTAGCGATGCTTCATATCGCAGTTGTGCAGGGTTCGAGGAAAGAAGGGCATTCGATTCATTTGACACCGCTTTGCCGTGTCTCGCATCCTTTTTGCCATATCCTCAGTGCACGCTCTTGGGCAACCATCGCTACTTCGGACCATCCCTCTTGGATATATATATATATATATATGTGTGTGATGCATATGTACAGTAATGTTATGCATGTAAAATCGATACAAATTCTGCTTAAGAACTGTTGACATGTGGACCACGAACATGACCTGCATGGACCACGAATTTCTACCCCCGGGCCTTTGGGGCAGGTGTAGAGTGCGCAGGTCTTCTTGCACTTCCCGGTGAAGAAGGGGCTCTCCGTCGAGGCCTTGATCTCACCGCTGTAGCCTGGCGCAGATCTTGTTTCTCTGTTTTGTTCACCGTTTTTCCGGATTTGGGCACGGCGCATCCAAGCGCGGAGATCACGGGGGGCCGTTCTCTTGCTTCTCGACGAAGCGACGAAGCTCTTGCTAGCTCATCCAGTGAGGGCGCCTGTGTCGCAGGTGCAGCCATCCACCACCGACGTCCCATGGCTGTTCTTGGGGCACTGAACCGCATCGCAAGATCCTCCGGGTCGAGGGGGCAAAAATCGGGTTCCATTAGGGTTCCGCTCAGGGAAGTATTGATTGACAAAGCAACTAGACAGAATCAACACAACAACATCTTCACTCTATATATTATCTATATAGTGCCTAGTTGACCTTCAATCCTTTCCACGCTTCCTCAGCGGGTTGGGGTATCCTGGGTGCGTCCCATTGTATTGTAAGACACCGAGACACCAAGTAATCGTTTTGCACAAAGTGCTTTCCGGACTCAGAATGAGCCATCGGTCTCCCTCCACTTCTTACGGTCAGTCCTTTGAAGAATGGAGCAGTGCCACTCTTCTCGATGGATCCCGTGTAGCCTGCAAGGGCCGTCGCTGAACCCATACGAGATCCTACCTGAGGTTGATAATAGCCACATGTCTTAGGGAAGCATCAAACCCTTCCAGGAAGTTCTCTATGCTATGCAGAAAAGAGAAGCTCGACGGCCCGATCCACACCGATCCCCCACCTGCTTGGCAGGTGCATCCACCTCAGTGCGACCCAAAACGCGGTCGCACTTGTGGGCCGAGCAGCTGATCCATCCAGTCCATCCGCTCGGACGACCAAAGGAGACCAAAGAGGTGCGTCCATCAAATCATCATCACCATCAAAAGCATGGCATCATGGCATCATCTTGATTCACATGTCACATCCTTTGAAGACCCAATCAGTTGCTTCCCTTTCTCAGGTCTGACAAATGACCATAACGTATGCCCAAAAAGGCTCCAACCGGTGACAACCAAAAGGTTTCACAATGTTTCACATGGCACATCATCCATGAACATCCCCCCATCTGTGTAAACTGATACAAAATGCCGATGCCATTCTTTGATGGTTGCCCCATCTACTGCTGCTTCTGCCAATCACCCCTCCTCCCATCGTCCAGAACCACTTCAGATCATCGCCCAGCGGCTGTGCACTCCCTCGCCCGCAGATCCGGCAGGGCATGTCACTACACTGCAGCAGCTGTCCTGAGAAGCCAGGACCCAGGAGGAATGTCCGGTGAAAACATGTGATACCCTTTGTAATTGAGAAAACCCGTTTTCACACACGCCTTTCTCCGGACCAGCCACATTCTACAGGAAAATTCCCACCTTCATCCACCTCCCTTTGGCTTCTTATCCAATCGACTTGGAAAGGCCGTCACGAGAGCTCGCTGAAAGAACTTGTTTCAAGAAATGGTCTGAACCACATCAGACCAGGCATGACCAGACTATTTTTCAGCAGAGTGTACTGTACCCATTCTTCTGGCAAAAGATCCACCCTCGCCAGCTCTCCCCACGGACCATTTGACCGCGCCCCCAAGCTGGAACGTTTGGGGAGAAGCAAAGAGAATGAGCAGTCCACAACCAAAGACGAATGCGGGTATTCCCTCTCCACATCCCCTATTCCATCCAATTCCACCACAAGGTCCCAAATCTGAGCCCCCCAGCAGTGCTGGAGCCAATGGTGCTGGCAGGCTTGGGGTCGTAGCCTGGCGAATGGTGGAGCAGGCGCCATTGGTCAGTTCTGGAAGAATCTGCTTGATAAGTCATAACAGACCTCTTGAAGACCATCGCACTTTGATGGGGTGCCTATGGGTGCCTTGTTTTGCAACTCCTGGGCTTGTGTGCCATCTATGTCCTGAAAGATGTAACAAGACGAAGAGCACATTCGGATCCAAACATTAGCCTAATCCCCTTGAATAGATCATGATCTTTGGTTCAAGTCCCCTTGGATCACTGAAACCTAATAGATCTTTGGTTCATCTGTACATCGGTCTATGACCTCGTCCGGGCGATCCTTCTTTTTGCGCACCTCCAAGGCCTGCACCCATGTCTCCAAACCGCCCAGAAGGTACGGACCGCGCGGAGCCCGTCTCGCTCGTCTCGAGCTCCGGCTCCGGCTCCGGCTCGAGACTTCGGCTCCGGCTCAAGGTCTCGTCTCTAAAGTCCAAGGCCGCATTGCTGCAAGCATTCTTTGAAAACTCCAATCTGTACAGGGTTTTCCCGCTGCACAGCCATCTCGGCCACCAGCAACAAGGTCTTGATGCCCACTCGCTGTCCTGCAAGCCCGGCACTGATCTCCTGCACCGCCGGAGCGGTGAAGCCAGGCAAAGGGTCCAAGACCGCTTTGTAGTGGGCTGGTTGTGACAACTCTGGGAGCGGCAAGGTGACATTGAAGGCTGAGAGAAGCTCAACTTCTTCCAAAAAACTGGCATCCGTGGCAGTCCCAATGACTAAGAGCCGAGAATTCTCCTTTGGAGGTGGTCTCTTCAAAAGGGCGAACAGGGCTCCCAGCACAGGTGTGGAGAAACGAGGGCCAACTCTCACATAGTCGATCAGCCTTTCGATATCATCCAGGACTATACAAGACAAATCACTCTTGTAGGCGTCCTCAAAAACATTGGCGATGGCAGCGATCTTGGCCTGTTCTGAATAGCCAACGAACTTGTCGCTACACACTCTCCTCACAAAGGGATAGTCCGATCCTTGTGCCAGGTGTGCTGAAAGGGCGGTCTTGCCACAACCTTTGGGCCCATGCACTAGCACGCTCATCAATGGCGTATGAGTAGAGCTTCGCACCTGTTCTATGATGCTCTTGCACGAATCCATGGTGTAAGTAATCTCTTGAGAAAAGGCCTGGATGCCAAAGGGAATGCACTTCTCAAAATCGTCCGTGTGTTGACCGAAGGCTGGTTTCACTTCTGAGAGGGCCATCTCAAAATCAGCGTTGCCGATACCTCACTCAGTTAAAGGAGCAAAGGGATGATGGTAGAATACTTGTTTGGTCACTTGGTCTCCTTCTAAACAAGAGTTGTACACTACAGTGTGTATATATATATATAGTATGTTATATATATATATATACTTTTGTGTTTTTTGCACATATATGATATACAACAATATAACATTATATAACCTGGTTTGTCTCCGGTCATCCAGAGGGGTCTTCCTCCGATACAGTGAGTCTATTAAAGTCTAATCGTCTCGCTGTGCACAAAAAACAGGCACTTCTCTACGCCGTGGCTGTGCACCACCCCGGCTTGAACCAACTTCTCTAATGTAGACTCTTGATTAAAAACCCCCCCATTTGAATTGAAAAGCATTATTATTTGGGGGGTTATAACAAAGAGGTTTATAACAAGTTTCCGGGCGAGATGCGAAAGTCACCCTCCTTGATGCTCAAGTCCGTGAAACTAACCTTCCTGTTCATGGCAAAGGAGGTGGCGGACCTCAGTAGTCCTTCCAGCTCCGCGCCCGAGAAGTTCTTGGTCTTGGCCGCGATGGCGGGAATCGACACGTCGGGTTCCAGGTAGCCTTTCTCCCTCATGCCCTTGGTGTGAATGTTCAGGATCTCCACTCGCCCATGCTCGTCCGGAAGGCTAATCTCCACATGAATCTCCAAGCGGCCTGGGCGCAAGAGAGCTTCATCGATCAAGTCCTTTCGATTGGTCATACCGATCAGTAGGATGTTGTTCAAGGAATCCACGCCGTCGATCTTCGACAGCAATTGGTTGACGATACTATCATGAACCCCGGTGCCATCGCGCGTGGACCCCCGGGACTTGCAGATGGAGTCGATTTCATCAAAAATCACCACGTGGAGTGGGGAGTTCTCTCCCAAAGTCTTCTCATCCTTCTCCGCATCGGCAAACAAATTTCGAATGTTTTCCTCTGCTTGTCCCACATATTTGTTCAACACCTCAGGACCATTCACGACCTTTGGCTCCACGGCCTTCAAGAACTTCGCCAACTTCCGGGCGATCAAGGTCTTCCCCGTGCCCGGCGGGCCAAAGAGCAACATGCCTCTCACATGGCCAATGCCCAGGTCCCGGATCATGTGTGGAGGAAAGACGCGGGCGGCAAAGGCACGGCGAAAGATGTCGCCAAACTGCTTGCTCAAGCCACCAATGCCTAAATCCTCGAAGTTGAAGTCCGGCCTAAAGATACTCCTTTGCTGGATCTTGTTGCTCAAGACATGAAGCTTTCCCGATGGACCTTGCTGGAAGTCCAACTCTGTGAGCGCAGCGAAGAGTCCTGAGTTCACCTTGGGCTGGCTTTGTCCTTCCACACCTTGGATTTGCTGTCCAGGAACCGTGAGAAACAACTTAAAGAATCAAACACGCATATAGTATATATATATAATACATTATAATACTACTTAAACACCAGAAGAGGATTTTACCATAGGGCTTTTGGTTGAAACATCAACAGAATCACCTGTTTTCTGAGCAAAAACCCAGGACACCGAGATCTGGGGGCATACAACTGCGCACGTCGAACTTCAGCAGGGTGCCGTTGTAATCGACGGCGATGCTCTGGCCGACCGTTACGACCTGAAACTGAAACTTCGCTCGCATGATCTGCTCGAGCTCTTCATCCTTCACTTCAAGCTTCGGGGTGTCGGCAGCTGGCTTCAGGAAGAAGTCCACTTCCAATTTGCACATGCCCAGGTCAAAGCCCTTGGGAAGAGGGAATTGCTTGACAAAAACCTCCTGGTTCAGTCCAATTCGAGCAAATTCTCGTTGGACCTTGTTGAAGGCAATGGTCCCGGGCTCCATCGCGCGGTGAGCTTCGACGCTGAAGATGCAACCTTTTGCCTCGATGTAATAGCCAGTCCCACCAGCCCCGGGAGAGCTTTCTTTGGAAGGGCAAATCTGCAGCAGGTCCAGCTGCGAGACATAGCATTTGTTGGTGAAGGCCAAAGCCTTCTCAGGCAGATTGGATGGAGTGAGGCTGAGGCCCACAGAGACCATGGCGACAAAAGGTCGAACAAAGACCCGTTTTTCGGCTGAACAAGGTCGAAACGTAACGAAAACTTGCTAATCCCAGGGATGAGATGATGGACCCAGTGGGGATGGCTTAAACAGAGTGATGGACGTAGCGATGAGATGTCTTGGGGTGAATGCTGACTTCTGTCGGCGGATTGCTGTAGCGAGGGAGGGATCGATGCTTATCTGTCTGTTTATGGGGACGATGTTCCTTCAGGGAATGCTGCTGATGTTTCCTCAAGATCTTAGGATCCTCCTGTTCATCTCAACCAGGATTTAAGACACTTAAGCCGATCAAGATGCGTGTCAAGCTTAAGACGCGAACGACCTGTTTCTTTCACAAGCTGCAGATGAGCGGCCACTTGCAAGCACGAACACGGACTCAAACAATCAATGTATTTTCGAGAAACACGGTTTACCTCTTGTAGCCTGTTCGCCTGGTCGCCTGGTACACTCCGACTCACCAACCAAGGTGGAAGTGGATTTCACCCCGTTTGTAAAGGAAAGTATCTTTTCCAAGGGACCATGCCATCCACTTCCATGTTAGTCAGCGGGTAGCCTCAACAAGAAGCTACTCGTAGTAGTAACAAGGGCATTACTAGTAGTTACTAGTAACTAGTAACAAGGGCATTACTACTGGGAGATACTGGGAGCAAGGACGCTACTAGTAGCTCCTGGCATCACTACTAGGAACGAGAAGTAACAAGGGCATGTCTCGCTTCGGCCTTCGGGGCATTCGTACGAGGCGCACTTCTCCTGGCCGCGCCGTGACCGGCCCGTGGCGGGGGTGGGGCGGTTGGAGGTACCCCTGGCAGGGTCCTTGGGAAAAGAACGAGGTGCCTTTGCACATCATGCAACACATGGTGCATTGATTTCCATTGCGTTGGAAATCACGGGAAGCTCTTGGTGCTGTGCTTGGCTGTGCTTTTTAACTGACACTCTGTGCTGCACCAAAATCTCTGGCTGCGCTCGACGTGCCTGCGAGCAAAGGGCAAAGACCTGCGGAGAGAAGTACTGGACAGAACGCGACAGAAATGCTTCCACCCGGATGATTTCTCCTGATGAATGTAGATTCTTGACTACAACCCCCGTTTGAATTGGAAAATCAATTAATCAAGAGTCTACATTATGCGATGGAAAGGAGAAGATGGTTGTTGATCTTGGACCCTGATGACACTGGATAATGATTCAGAGCAGCGCCTCTGCAAAAGGTAATGATGAACAAAATATAATAGTTTGCTACGGACCTATGAATACTCACCCTTGGTGGAATGATTAATTCATTCAAGTGTTTTCATGGCCAACTCCACTTGGACGTTTCAACACACCTTTGGTGTAGCTCCAGTCCTCATGGCTGAAATCAAGAAGATCACCGGAAAACGTGAGGAACTGCGGGTGGGGTTGAGGTATCCCAAATGTGGACGAAAAGAATGGTTGGTTTAAAAAAAAGCAAGTAAAAACAATACAATATACGTTCTCTCCGGGATGTTCACATGTCCACCGTTATTTTTTTTTCATCAGTCAACATGAGCAAAAGCATCAATAAACATTAAAAGAGCAAATGCCATGTAACATATCCCATACTTTCATGATAAAATATCCCGTACTTTAGTTGAACGAAGTATGATTTGCTTCAACTAACTATATGTCCCATCATATATATATATATACATAATATATATGTTTATCCCACTAATTATATATTAACTTAAATATCCTATATTTAACATATAACAATATCCCATCATGTGTTCCACTCCAACACTTCCCCCTTTCAAACGGCTTCGGATCGCCTTCACTCGGTGGCCACCGGTCGAACCTGCACGGGGCGCACTTGGAGGCCAGGACCCCACCAACAAAATGTAAACCAATGTGTTTTGTTTCTAATAGCTTCTTGTTCCTAGAAGTATGGCCAGGAGCCCCTAGTAGCGTCCTTGCTCCTAGTAGCGATGCCAGGAGGCCCTAGTAGCTTCTTATTTCTGAGGTGCACCTGGAACCCATTTGACCCCTGTTTTGATCGGAAATTGCATTTTTGGGGGTGATTGGTGGTTCAAAAACAGAGGTATATGATTCAGGTTCTAGGTAACGTGACGTATATGGAGAGAGAGAGAGAGAGGAAAGGTCAACTGGGCCACCCGGCGGGTACACTTGTGGTCCACCGGAGCAAAGCTGGCTTCGCTGTTCTTCCCATTCGCGGCGAAGCACTTGTTCTTCACCCTCCAGGCCTCGAGAAAAAGGTTTCGGTTTGACTGGACTGATTCATCTTGGTCAGGTGGAGCCGAAGAAAAGCATCCTGAACCGACCAATATGAATATGAATATGACATATGAATTACTGTGCTCATTTCGGCTCTTGCGGGCTTCTTCTCACATGCTAATTATTGAGGTCTAGTGGCAATAGCATTAAGATTGGTCCTTAATTACATTTATATAAGTACCATATTCTTACAACTACAATCAAATTATATCAAATTACATGTGGCCCACTGGGCCTTGCTTCAGCTTGTCAGCTCCTTGAACACCTCACTGACCTGCTGTCCCACCCAAACCCATGAACCTCCGCCCCTATGGGCCCGAGGGACCGAATAGCAGGTACAGCCGATGGCATCGCCCACTTTGCAGTCCACGGTGATGCGGCCCTTCTTCCAGTGACGACCCGAGACCTCGAGGCGCGGCCACCGGTGGCCAGGCCGGTGGAAGAACGGGGAGGAGAGAACCCGGCGGTGGAGGGAACCGGTCCTCCCTTTCCCCGGAGTCCGTGTTTCTGTTCGGACTCCGTGCTTTTCTCTTGCTTTTCGGTCACAAATCCAGCCCGTCGTGTGAATTGCCGGTTCACAGATGGAAATTGGTTGGCACCGGGTCTTCGGATCTGCGATGTTTGAGCCGACTCTGTTGGGAGCTTCCTCTGATTCACCGTGCCCTGTAAGTAGCTTAGAATTGGACCACACGAGCCACGAGGTCCAATTCCGGAGACCGTTTTGCATGTTTTTTTCCCTTGCAGGCTACAGCATCATATAGCACCGATCGAGAAGGGATGCGACGGAAGAGTTCCAATTGCTCAACTCTGATGATCCCATCTCCCTCTCAATCATCTCACCTCCAAATCTGGGGCCATCTCACCTCCATCTAGTAGCAAGAAGCTACTGGGTGGAGGCCATCACTATTATATAGGTTGGAGGCCATCACTACTAGTAACAAGAAGCATCTCATGTCGCTTCTTTTCACTCTTCTTCACCTCACATCTCGACCGTCCGAACCTCTTTGGACGGGGCCATCGTCCACCCACCCGCACCCACCCGGTCACCGCTCATCCGGTGCGTCACCGGTCGCCTCGGGCAAGGTCTCGGTGGTCCAGCAGTCCGCGTGCGCTTTCACCCGCATGCCGCCGGTGGCTTGGGACTGGCCGGCGGCGAAGGGAACCGAGGCGAACGACCCTTCTGGGCGGTTTGGACCGGGTTGGACCGGTGGGGATGGGCAGTGCAGCGCGTCGAGGTAGGGAAGAAAGACGATGCAACAAGCGCTAGGATGTGGAAAGGCATGTGTTTGGAGCCATACAGGGAAAGAGGGAGGAACAATGCATGTCATGTTGAGTGCCAATGTGAGTGCTCATGTGAATGCATGCACGTTGACTAGCTTTCGCTTTCGACTCAGCCAGCAAAGCTTTGCACCAGAAAAAACATCGTTCAGAACTCCCACAAGCTTTGTTGATACAAACATCAGTGAAGTGGGTGGGCCCAGTTGTGTCCACTCTCCAGCCGACGTGATGCTGTGATGCCCCGTGGTCGACTCGGTCCACGCGCACATTGCAGGTCTTGCCGTTGTTGGAGACCCAATTGCCGTCTCCGTCGAAGCCTGGCGAGGACGGCACCGGTCGGGACGACCGGTGCGGGAAAAATGAAGATCGCTTGAGAAAGATCGTTGAGACTTCACCATGGCATGGACTTATATAGATCAAACGAGCCAGTGGTATTCATATCCGTCGTTTCATAGGGTTTCCTTTAGGATAGGTTTGATATATGTGTTGCCTGGAAGGGTATGGTAGTATGGTCAAATCAACAGTGCGTCATGCTTAGTTCCTTGATCAACTCGGGTATGTAGGGTTCCAGCACATTCTATGTGGCAAGCAGAGCCAGTGCACATCCAAACACAACTGGCACAACTCGTCTGAACGCTCTCCTCAATCCCACAACCCCACAACAGAACATGTTTTCGATAGAGTTCATCTACTCTGGAGTGTGGATTTGTCACACAAAAGCATGTACAAGCCCATTGCTTGACTAGTGACTAGTGACTAGTAAGATCTAGTAAGTAGGTCTTCCTATTCGAGTACACCACATACCCATTTTTTCTCAACCGACCCGTGCCACTGGGCCACGTGGCCGCCCCGAGAAGACCGGGCCTCCCCAGCACTTCTTCACCTCAGGAGTCTCCACTCCCCCAGATTGGATCGACCCCCAGATCGGACGAGAGGTTCGGCCATTAGCCTTTGCCTCCGGAACTTCCCACCCAAGAAACATCGATATCTAAATAATCAAAGGAATTGACATTGTTGGAGGCCGAACTCATCAGACAGAGCCGAAATCCTTTTATATAAAAAAAAGAAAAACAAATCCGCACTCAAGAGAACAGGTCTACTCAGGACTCAAAAAAAAAAAAATATATATATATATATATTCATGAGAAACAAAATGGAAGGAAACAAATCAAGTAAGGACTCAAATGAACAAATAAGTATGTGCAGCTGAGTCCCAGACTGAGTTCCCATTTAAGTACTGATTTGAGTTTTGGCAAAGCTGGGCGCCAAACTGAGTCCCAATTTGAGTCTTGATTTGAGTCTGGATTTGTTCTTTTTGAAGGAAAACGCAGATTCCAGTTCGAGCCTATCCCACCCTAGCTACCTGGAAATTTTGCTGGTCCCTAGACTCCAGCTTGGCAGGCTCCTAGGTCCCTAGAGCCTAGACTCCTACTTGGTGCATTGGTAGGCTCCTAGGCTCCTGGTCGAATCAGAGATTGAATGAAACACCTTCACAAAGTCACAAAG